TCGCTTATTCGGACCTCTCATTCGCACCTGTCTTACTAACCTATCCCAAATTGCAGACAAGTGTCAGACGGGATTCCTGGAAAAAGGTCGGACGCGGTTCCTAGAAAAACATAGCACGCCTTTCCAGGAAAAAATGTAGGTCATTGGCCATTCATAATCTTCGCACCCCTGTTATGGAAAACTTTGATTCCTTGTATCTCGGCAATCGATTGAGATATCGGAATGAATCAAAAAAGGATATCAATGGCAAGGACTTCTCTATCGTCTGACAAGGTTTTAATGTAAAAATTTTTAATTTCTTTTTGTGTTTTTTATGTGGAAAAATCGTTTCTTCATTTGTGAGTTTCACCAATGATCCATTAATAATAAATGTTGTTAAAGTATATTCTTATACATATTTTAGAAGAGAAAAACGTAGAAAATAAACTAGTATGATTTACTAAAGTGATTTTATAAATTTAATTGCAAATTTTTGAAAAAAAAAAATATATAAAATATAGTAAAAATAATAAAAATGAAAAAAAAAGTATAGAAAGAATAGAGAAAGAAGTAAATAATAAAAACATAGAATAAATCAAAGAATTTTTATGGAACGGCGAGGCAATATGTATAACGTATAATAATTCGTGTAAAAAAATGTAAAATTAAAATGGAAACTTTTATTAAAAATATGAAAGTGAAAGTTTACAATGGAACATACGAAATATTAAAATAGAACTAAATGAAATAAAATAGAACGGAAAGTGGAGAATGAAAATAAAAAGTTTTAACGAAAAACTGGCAATGAATAAATGTGCAAGAATTTGATGGAAGAGCGTGAAATTAATATGTAAAAATTCGGGGAAAAATGGGAAAGTTGAAGTGAGAAATTTTATCGGAAAGGAGAAGGAATGACGAATGAAAAATTATAATGAAAATTCTGGACGGTCGGATAGAAAAGATCCGCAGAAAAATTGAGAAATAAAACAAGAGAATTAGCATAGAATATATAAAATCCGAGATTCTTTTTGAAACAAAAGCTTTTATAACTTTTAAAACCCGTAAAACTTTATTAAAGCGTGTAAATCGGATAAAGATTGGTAAAAAAGATTCGTATTAATATTAATGTCGTAAATCAAATTGATTGTTGACCGGTTGTTTTTATTTGGAATTAGAATGTTTTATCACTGAACACGGATTCTGTACATGCAATTGTGTGTATATAATTAAAAAACCACTTCCTGATGATAAAAAACTTTATTGTTACTGCACGTTAGACACGACTAAAATGTCAAGAAATAAGAAGAATCGATAATATCTTGTAATATAATACGTTTACGATGAAGATGCAATTATTATAAAATTACTATAAAAGCATTCGATCAGAGCGGTGGTAAAAGTTATTAAAAATACTACTATTATTGAGATATAGTTATATGGGATGTCAATTATAAAAAAAAAAATCAAATTGTTCAGAATAATCGATATACGTATGTACCGATATAACGAAATTTTCGATAATTCGATTACATAATTGGAGAATCTGATTGTTCGAATAATAAAACGCTCGCGTTTACTTAATGATTCTCTATTTAAAAATGAATAATTACAAGAAATATATATTAAATAATATAAAAAAAAAATGACTTAAATTTTTTTAACACGTTGAGCTGCATCGAATTATATTTTATTTGTTTTTCCAAACCAAATTTTCTCTTCGTTATTGTATCTCTCGAAAAAAAATTTAAAATATCTAACTCTCGTATAGCGTTAACGACTTTAGGCGCGATTAAAAAATAAAGATAAGATTTATAAAAATCGTAATAGACATAAATGATTTCCTGCTGCGGACTTTGAGTACAAATATTCTTAAGTACACAAAACTTCGTCCCTGACAGATTAAGCAAACACGATTCGAAACAATAAACAGCGCTAAACGATGCCAACTTACACAAATTTGTATGTTAATGTTGCATGAATGCATCGATGCATCTTCGAACTGACTAGATTCATCAATAATACATAAATTCCAAGCGAATTCGAGGAAAGATCATTAAAAAAATAGAAAAAAAAAGAAAAAAGTACGAAATCAACAAAAATGAAAAATTATCGTCGAAAAAAATCGAGGAAATTCAAAATAAAAACTTATGCAAGGGAAAATATAAATATATTTAGGGAAGAAATTTCTGAATATTGCGTAATGGCGGAGATCAAAGTGGAAGATCGCTGAAACGTAAGTGCTTAATGATCTAGCAGGAGCAATAAACTGGCGTCATTTGAACGAAGCTAGGAAAATAACTGCCATTTTTCACGAAACAGCCGTCACAATTAGCGAGTGTGGCATCTTGTAGCAATTGATATCGAGCCACGGAGCGAGTTGGCAGCTTCCGTTGTCGCGAATTACACATTTCTAGGTCGTTTTATCTGCACACGCCCACGAGCAAATAATCAAATACGATTTATTTTAAAAAGTTATTTTAAAAATTTTATGATTTATTTATTCGTTAAATAATTAATCCGATTGATGAAAGTTAACTTTGTTAATTAGGAATCGATAAAAAAGAAGGCGCAGAAAATATTTAGTTGTGAAATCGATCTGTTGGCAGTGTTAACGTTTCCTTGTTTCGTGATAAACGGCGTTCCGGATTATTATTGGACGAGACTTATTTCGGGAAAGAAATGGTATTTTCGTGGGATTATTTCGTGGAAATTTGTAATATAATATCGGGGAAATCTGTGCGACGTATTAATTTACGCGGATTTTCTAGTTTTCCATCAGTCTTCATTGTTTATTTATATAATTCATATAATAATTAACTTGTTTTCCGAATTTTCAGAATTCCTTGTCAAAATATCTACTACTATGTTGAAAAAAATTAATTACCAGGAATAATTTGTACAATTGTGAAGGAATTAATATTTCTTTATTAATTTTCTCTTCGATTTATTAATGATAACAGAAATATCCATATATATTTCAAAATTAGTTTGAACGGATATTAATATGTAACAAGAATATTTTAGAAAAGTCAAAGAACTCTACGTACATATTATTATCATATCATCGGCCAAGAATCTAGAATTTTCTAAATATTTATTATACGTCAAACAACCCATGTATCATCCAATTCAAGGATGATAGGAAATCTTTAAGACTTTCTATAGTTGAATTTTGTTTCTATTAATATCCTGTCCTTCGCGTGAAAAATTTAATATATATCCCCAGCGAAAGTGATCACATTCGTCGGCAATCACGTTTCTGGCATATAATGTCACATCGCCAGTATACAACGTTCGTACGTATATTACGATAACCGGGCCGATGCGTGGGCAACCTTTCAACTTAGCAATGATTTATCTACTTTATCACCTTATTTCTTGTGTATTTTACCACTGCGTTTCAAGAACAATGTATAATATCCCTCTATATTTTCTTAATATTTACGAGTAAAAATAGTTTAGTAAATTTGCAATTTCTTTTTCTCTACGTAAACGGAAATTCTCTCGTTCCAATTCGGATGATAAATCTTTCTTATAACCAATTTAATAAGGATTCAAAAAAAAAAAAAAAAAAAAAAAAAAGAATTATTTAAAAAAATATATATTAATCGTATTAAAATTTGCTGTAATTTTTCAAAAGATGTACAAGATCAGAAAATTATATCAAAATATACGAATAAACTTGAATAAAACGGGATAGGAATTTATTTATTAATTATCAATAATTAATTCTTCTGAGATACTTTTTTATAATTCTTTTCTTTATAATTCTCTATTATCGTTATTCATCGTCTTATGAAAATTTTTCTTATATATTTTTTCTTAATTCAATAAGGTTTTCCAATTCGCCATGCGTTCAAATTGGTATTATTACGAGCATATCGCACAAGTACGTGAAAATCTAAAATTGATCCGATTGAAAGGCGAGATAACGCGGGCAATAAACGCGTTAACCATCAAATCCTTGGAAACACTTGATCTATCCGTCGTCGTTCCACTTTCTCGTGAATGGCCCGGACCGGAAATCGTTGGAAACGGTTCATCGGTCCAGATCGATCCCAACCTCATAAACGGACCACTCGAATTAAATTTCGCGTGGCAATGTTTATTGATAGCACTCAGCTGTTTTTGTTTTGGCATGAACCGCCAACACACGCGTCATCGCGTTATTGTTATTTTGAGCGGGTAGTCGAAGGTTTTACATCGGGGGTCTGCATTCGACGGGCCGAATACTCGTAGATGACACCGGTTGAAACGCGACATTGTACTTTGGTAATCTTGTCTTTTGTACATCAAAATGTGACAAAAATGAACGTACAGCATTGGAAGCATTGTTAAAGATAAAACGAAATATAAAATGAGAAAATATAAATGTTTATTAGTGTGATTAGATAATATTTATATGTAGTTGTTATCACAAGTTCATTTTGATTTTGTTTCAGTGTATCGACGAACGATGTAATAATAAATTTCTTCAAAATCTGATAATTCTTTTTCTATTTGATTATTGATATATTCTTCGTATTTATGAATACGATACATCTATGGTCACGGACGTGAATTCAGCAAATTATGTACAATGGAATTATTTTTAGAGGGCGATCAATTGAAAAAGATGGAATCAATGGAATAAAATTTTAAAATTTAAAATAAAAAAGATTTATCGTAATTAACCATTTGTGTCTATTAACCAAAAATATAGTAGAAATGAACAATGGGGATGAAATTTAAATTTTCAAATTAGAGTAACGCGTAATTGGTATCTTAATTTCTATCGTATTATTAAAATTTGGTTAAAAAAGAAAATATACTGAAAATTATTTTTCACCTTTTTTTCGAGTTAAATATTTTGAAAATTATATAAGTATATTTTTAATTTTTCACAACGCGAAAATTGTCTATATATTTTATAATTAGATTTGTATATTTTGTAATAATCAGTTTCTATATTTATCATATTATTTTTATATAAAATTTCATTGTACTAATAAAATTATTTTTATTTTTCAGACTATAATAACGATGAGAAAAATGAATTATACGGTTGGATTAAAAAATAATAATAATAAAAAAGAAAAAGAAAATAAATCAAAAAAGAGAGACAAGAAATGGAAGTTAATTGCCTGCGGCTTTCATTTTTCATGTAAAAAGAGGATATCTTGAAAGTCATATATAGTTCAGAGTATATGGGTCATGCGAAAATAAATAAATGAATAAAAGAAAAAAAATTTTTCAAAAACCGAAAAATGGAAATTAGTTTTCTGAAGTTTTCATATTTTATTGTTAAATTTAAAAAAAAAAACATTTTGAAAATTTTATATATGGTAATTTAGTTTTATAGTGGTAATTTCATTCAAAAATCAAGAATTTTATATATAAATTTTCCAGGTTAAATCTATGTTTGAAAAATCGTGTATATATTTGTATATACATACGATAATTGCTCAAAGTCATTATTTGATATCCAAATACGAATCTGTGGACTTTCTTTGATTAAGATACGTTAATACGATATTTATCTTATAGATAAGTAACGAGGTTAGCTACATACTAAACATTTAGTTATTATACACATATATATATCATCATTGAAATTAATTTTTCTTTTAAATCAATCAAAATATAGAAATAATAATTTATATTGTATTGTTATTATTATTATATATTATATGTAACATTTATAATATTTATAAATTTAAAATTATAAAAAATTTGCAATTTCTTTTTGTCAAATATATTTAGAATTATTCCTACTTAGATATATATGTGTGTGACTTTTCTATTTTTTGGTATTTTTACAAAATTTGATGTCAGTATTATAAATTTCAACAATTTTTTTTGTTTTTATATATATGTGTATATATATATGTGTCCATATATATTCAAGAATAGGAGAATTTTCAGTTTCTTCTAAATCTAAAATATTTAAATGAAAATAAAATAAAGATATAATAATTTAAACTTTCCTAAACAGATTTTTAAATTTTTAGGAATATTGTTACAATTATCTGTAATCTCCTACGGACCTACACCGACCTAATTATCTTCAAAAAGTCTCAACAACAATTGTTGGTTTAATTTGTCTTCAAAACAGATCATTAATAAGAACCAACATTTTTTTTCGAAAATAAATTTTTCTTTATAAAGTTAAAGAAATACATCCAATAATAAAGAATTAAGGAATTAAATAGCTAATAAAAAAGCTCAAGCCAATTGAAAATAACTCGAGAAATTCGATAAAAATAAAAGATAATAAATAATACTTAAAGAATACTTAAGATTTTCATTAAGAAAATCATTTATACTGATATTTTAATTAATTATAAAAAGAATTCGAACGTTCATCTACATATTTTTCTTGATTTTACGAAAGAATGCCACACCAATACCAAAAGTATTTGCAATTTCTAAAATACTGCAGCGAAAAGATTAAAGGATCGTAAGAAATTCAAAGGAATCGTTAAAACGAAGAAATATAAGGAATCTAAAGAAACCCAATGAATTGAAAATGTTCGAGAAATTCAAAGAAAGTAAAATAATTTAAATATAATCCAAAAAATCCAAGAAAGCGTAGATTTAAAATTCAAAGGAGCAGTTTATATATATATAAAAAAAAAAAAACGATCTTTATCAGTTATTTTTACGAAAAGAAGAACAGAAAATATTTCTTAGTAGTAAATTAATAAAAATTTTATTCATAATCATATAAAAGATATATATATATATATAAAAGAAATATATCTGATCAAATCGTAAAGTTACGATAAATCCTTTAATTATCTATCAGATTAGCAAATTCGAAAAGAAAAAAAAAAAAAAATTTAACTCAAACCATTGAAAACGTGTTTGTTATTCGAACAATGGTTTAGCAGAAAAGCGACCGTTTCGCTAACAATTATTCCGTAATGGCGTGTGAATGCATGACTCACATGTACGAATACATACAGGGTGTCCGAGTAAAAATAAAACGTAAATGTAAATCGTTAAAAAAATTATATGAAAAAAAAGTCCCTGATAAGAAGTGAATGAATTTTAAAAAGATCATATATCATTTTTTAAGCGGAATCATACAATTTTAAATATATCTTTTTCTCTGCAAAATAAATAGTGTAACTTAAATTTTATCGGAGTTATTGTACGAAGAACAAGGATAAACAGAATATTTTCACTTGCTCCTTGTCCCGTGTGTGATAAATTTTCTTTCAAACTTCAAGTTACAATATTTTTTAAACTAATGATTGTCTTTACGTAAATAGGAACTTTATCGAAACGGATCAATTACTGCGTTAAAACAATATTATTCTTTTAAAAAAAAAAACATACGTTATCTTTACATGATCTGGAATTATCTGGAAAAAAATTAATTACATCAGATTATGTCTCCATTCATTATTACTTATTCGAACCATTTTTCCATACAGTTTTTCAATAATTTGCATGTTCGTTTAAGATACTTTGTATATCTGTTTCCACGTGTTTTGTGTCGAGTATCGTTAAATCACTCGGTTTGCTCGCTTCTTTCCTCCTAAATTCATTATTAGTCCACGTACGAATTATTCGAGAATGAATAAATTTATAATTGTCACGAGTGTATCGCGATTATTTGCAAACTAACTTGCTTGATTATGAACGATGAATCACGAAATAGAATCGATTAAAATTCTTTTGCGTTTGCAAGTTTCCTGTTTTCGAAGAAATAAATTTACTTACTAGATTTAGGACTTCTCACGCGTAATACGGATTACATAATCGAAATTGCCTCAACCTTGCACGGTGCATCATTCTTGACCGCGTCTTAGAATGCAAATCTAAGTGTTTCTTCTATCCGAGAACGTACTCGGATAAAGAGGAACGAAACGAGATATTATATCATCCGTATTAATGTTGAATGTAACTTACGGTTATTCCAGTAATACACGCTCGTTTAATTCAATGCGAGCAAAATTCTAAACATTCTTTGTACAGTCGTTGGAAATTATAATGAAATATTTTCCTATTAAAAGAACGTTTAACTCCTTAAATGTCAAATAATCGTTTGGTCAAATAATCGTTTGATGAAATCAATTTATCATATGAAAATTTTCATATATTATTTTATTTAATATATACGTCAAAATAATATTATATCGCGTAATAAGATTACAAAGTTAACATAATAAATTATATAACGTGCAAAGGAATATTCGAGAATTTCGAAATTTCGAGACTCTGGTGATGATATTGTTAGAATAATTAAAGATGCGCATAATTTGTTTTTCCTTCTCTACTCTTTTTTCTTTCTTTTTTCTTTTTTTTTTTTTTTTTTTTTTTAACATCTTGAAATAATATACGACGAAAAAACGATTCGCATAGAGACTCTCGCTCCGTTTCTTTTCATCCACTGGAAAAAACTGAAATATAGGTATGAGGTGTAAAATAAAGAAAAAAAAAATGAAACGGTGATTGATCGTTATACCGGTAGAAAAAGAGAGAGAAACGCCAGTGAAATCGATGAAACACTTTCAAAGAAGTAATCTTCATCGTCGCTGAATAAAGCGAAGAATATTATATATCCGTTTTATTTATTCCATTTATGGGATAGCGTGAAATAAACCAACTACAAAGGGAAGAAAAGCGTCGGGTCGGTTTAGTCGAGCTTAGTGTAAGCTGCCTTCGCGATCTTCCTTTAAATACAACGTGCACAGTAATTTCTCGAGTGGAAAAGAACATAATATCGTGACAACTTTCCGTGATAAATCGGCCATCTTTCTTCCGAGAGAATGAAAATTTCAAAATTTCTAATTAACTTTTATCCAACAGGATGATTTTCCAAATATTCTCATAGAATAAAACGATTCCTTAACGATTTATTAATTTTCATGGAGTTTGAGAAGTTTTACAAAAATCTTTTCGTATATAGTAGATAGTGTGTCGAGGAAAAGTAGAAATACAATATATTCGTAATATATTCTTTAATGATTTACTTTTGACCGCCTATAACATTCGATTCAAACGTAAATATTCGATGTCAAAATACAATTATTTGGTGAAAATGTTAATCGTCACAGATACTTTTTTTTTTTTCCACAGTGAAAGGATTAAGGAATGGTCGCAAGTTTAACGAGGAATCGGAACGAGATATATCGAGCGGCGCAATACGGGTTGCAAAAGAAATATAGAACAGGTATGCTGAGATAAATGGCTAGGAACGGTCATTCCAACTGTCACGCGAAACAGTATCGTGTGATACGATCTTATTTGTTAAACAGAATTTCTCTGGGCGGCGCTTTTACACGGTAAACAGAACCGTTTTGTCGGTTCTTGATACTGAAACCAATGTCACCATTCCTCATCGTTAAGATCGCATCGACCGACAGTGCCATTTTTAGAATCGTCTGGCGGCATTTGGTGATATTATTAAGTGGGGAGTACGAGATTGGCAAACAGTGTAGCCAGACATAACAATATAGCGTGATATAAAGTGTTATGGTGTAGGAATATTAGTAGGAATATTAAATCTGACTGTTAAGTATAAAAATATTAATGGTGATGATTATTATATGAGGAAGAAATAATGAAAAAAAAATGAAACTTGAACGTGTAGTTGATAATTTTGGAATGAAATTTGGAATGAAATTTGGAATGATGAGATAATGGGATCAAAAATTGTTGCAAGTTGCACTACGATTATAATATTAAATTAATATAATAGTAATAATTTTTGATGTTTGATTCAATAGCAATTATTTTATTCGACTAACTTCTCCATTAAATTTGTGAATCCGAGGAATGAAATAGAGTTTAATTGATAAAATGAAATTGAAGTTCGATTATTATTCGTATCGATTAAAGTTCAAGAATGAAGAGTAGAATCGGTCTACGTAAACTTTTGTCGAATAGAAGATGGAAAATAATTTAAACGCCAATTCTTGCATTCCTCCAACTCGTTGAATAATTTGCAAATCTCGGTGTTGAAGATCGAAGTAATCACTTTTACGGTTTATAAAGTTGAAAATTTTACTTTGCTTAGTAAAACCAATTTGAAATTACACAACGATGTATCCTAATTTAAAAGTAAAACTTTGGACTAGTTTCGTTTCGTCAATTACACGCTTTGAATCGATTCGTTAACCGAATAGGTGTTAGATATTCCAACCATTTGCCCGATATCAACTTCAACATCGTTTGGCTATTGGATAAACTTTAATCCAAATTCATCGATGCAAATTAACCTTTTTCCAATCATTTTTTCCATACTTTTTCAAAAGGATTTATCTGGTGAATTAATTATAAAATATATTCCAAAGGATAGATATAAAATATTCCGAAGGAAAAAAATAGTCGAAAACGAACGAATCAAAGATAGATATTATTAATGAAAATATTTTTACCTTCACTTCCTCTTGAAATAATAGACTAAATACACAAATTCAATCTCCTCGAGTTCGGTGTTTTGACGAGAGGAGATCAACCGAATAATGAACAGACAAACCGAAATCCTTTTCCACGAAATCAGTCGTGATATTTACAAAGTTTCAAATGTAAATATAAATAGCGTATTCAGAGTTTCGATGTCTCGAACTATTTCATTCTTCTTGTTATATATCTCGAAAAATTTAAGAAAAATTCATGAAAGGATGGAAATACGCTAAAGTATGAATGAGAAATTTCTTTTAAAAAGCGAATATTTCTCTCTAAACTTACACTGGAATTCTCCAATTAAAAATTTCCTTTTTTATTTGAAATTCTCAAATATAAAAGAAGAATATCGAAATCGAACGAACGCGAAGATTAAATTAATGGATTCGAAAAAAAAAAAAAAAAATCGACAAATTATGATTTCATATTATCATTTTCTCTTCTATTACTGTTAATTAATACTTTACTACATATCAATGTTTCTATAAAATCAATTGAATGCTTACGTATCGTATTACACGCTTCAATTTAAATTGCTCACAAAAGCTCGAATAGCATTTCATACTTGTGCCGGAATATAAATTAAAATGTCAAAGGACACTTTGCTGTAATGCATTCGAATAAAAAAAAAAAAGAAAAAAAAAAAAAAAAAAAAAAAGGAAAAAAATAGATATCACTTTCAGCGTCATTAGCAAAGCTTTGAACGTACATATGGAAGTATGGAGAAAACTCGTTAAATTGGAAGAGAGATAATCGAGAACTAATTGCATCTCAAAACCTATCGACGCTGCTATCTCTTTCCCTCCAAAACATCAGGCAAAAATACTTCATTCAATTTAAGTTTGAACAGAAATTGAACATTGATCGAGTTTTCTGCCGATATCCATTATTTTGCTTAGATATTTCTTTTAATTCTATTAATATATCGTATAATTTTAATTGAATCGATTTACATTTCGAAATCGGGGCCACTTCGTTATTTAATCATTTAGATTATTTGACATAACGATAGAAACTTGATATTTCGCTCATATTATGATTGACACTTATGGGAAGGGTAGAGCTTAATAGCGAAACTAAAATTGAAGTTTGATCATTATTTGCATTACTTTCAATTTTATCTTTTTACAATACTTCTTTTATTCAATAATTTATCTGTTACATCAAGTATATCCCGTTATACTTTTCGTATTTCGTTTTTTTTCTCACATTTTCATTAACTTTTTTCCTTTTATCGTTAGAAAAAAAAAACGTGTAAATTTCTTTCGAATATTTTTGCATACTATTTTTGCATACTATTTATAGAGAAAAACAAATAGAATGAAATGTTTCAGCTCGAGGAACGCACAAAAATCACAACAAGTTTATTTTTTTCCATTATCTTCTATTATTCAAAGTATCATCTTCTATTATTCAAATCAAATTGTATGGAACGAACGTTTCATTTTTTTTTTCCCGATTATTCTCATCGATATTCCATAAATCTAAACTATTCAATTTTAGTTTCGCTATTAAACTCTATCCTTCCCATAAGTGTCAATCATAATTTGAGCGAAATATCAAGTTTCTATCGTTATGTCAAATAATCTAAATGATTAAATAACGAAGTGGCCCCGATTTCGAAATGTAAATCGATTCAATTAAAATTATACGATATATTAACTATTGAAATTAATAATAAATTTCTCTAATTTGTAGATACCTTCCAATGGGGAAAGACAAATTAAACCACTCAGATTCATCGATCGAAATTCGTCTTCGTGAAATCGGTGAGTAAATCGTTGACCAAAAAGCAGATTCGACTGGAAAACCGATTCAATGGTTCATCGTGTTCCCGCAGAAACTTGTCTTTACTTACTCCATTTCTAAAACCGGTCGAATTCCACGTGAGCGAATAAATTACTCACCGGAACTCGATCACGTCTCTCACGGAAATCTTCTCTAAAACAGCCCCATTTCCCTAATCGTCGTCTATCGATCGGCATTTCTTAACGAGATAATTAAATAGTGTAAATGGTCCCAATGGAACGTTCTCAAATTTTCAAAGGATTGATCGTTATGGGGATCAGAATGTTGTGATTTTTGTATACGTTGCTCATTTGCTGCAACAATGATATAATTAAAAATTTGCAGTTACTGATAATACAAAAAGAGACGTTGTTTTTTATCGATAGAATTTTTGAATTGTACATTTTTTAATTCGTAATGCAATTCGTAAAGTTTTTATGCAATTATATATGGCGATTCGGAACGTTTAAAATCATCTTCCTTAAAGTTGTAATTTTCGAGTTATGTAAACTTTTGAAACTTGAATATAGCAGAATAGTAGGTTAGAGATGATACACAAGTTGAAAGCAAATAAAGCAAAATCTTAGAATTTAAACAATCTCATCATAATTTGAAAATATGAGAATAATAAAACGAGGAGAATATACTCGGAATAGAAACAAAGAAATTCACGTTACCGATGTTTCAAAAATTATTTTCAATAATTCTCTTTTGAATCGTGCAAGTATAAAAGATAAATTTGCTAAATTTCATATACCCGAAATAGATTTAATTAATTCCAAATGTTCCAATAATAGATTTTAAGGAAGCAAGATAATAATAGGATTTATATATATATATATTTAAATTTTTAATATTCCTATTTAAACGATACGATATTAAGATCTGATCGTTTCGATCGAATATTCTAAATGAAGAAATAACGTTATAAAGATTCTTTGGAACCATTGTGATCCTAGTAATGAATATACGTAATAAATATAGTAATACACAAGCAATACGATATTATTCAAATTCACAACGAATTATAATTACGAGTTCCAATTATATCGTGGAGATATTAATAATATGTACATATACGTATAATACAAAAACCCAAAAGTCCTCTACGTCCTAATTATCATTCTCGACGAAGAATTTTAAACGTAATAAATCAAACATGTAAATTTATCTTGATCGATATACCAAAATTCTATCGAATTCGTGCACTTATCGCTCAATTTACAAATTAAAATTAACACAAATTAAAATTAAACACAAATTAAAATTTCAAAAAGCTTTTGAATTATTAGAAAATATATATATATATATATGTATGGAAAAAAACTTTTTATCGATAGAATCTTGTAAATGTGTTTTAACATACGTTGTCACCAGCTTCGAATACATTATATACGCAAATTTTCAAAATTTTCTTTTTACAAATTTTGATACTCCAGCGTAGAATAGTCTTGACGAGATTGAAAAAAAATTTGAATTTTCGTAGACATATATTCATTGGTTGAAGAAAGATCGTTTGAATAGAATGTTCGTAACTTACCAATTAACTTTTCCAATTCACCTTCCAGTTCATATAATTATAACACGCACTTGAATGTCGCTTTCACAAAGAGAAACTTCACTGTTAACGAAATTTTTAAAATATTACGAGCAGGCAGCTTTTCAAAATATCATACAATTAACGAGAAGTTGCAGCAAATTACATACTTCGTAGGATGTTGCGTTAATATATCTAAAGAAAGTGCGGAAACTCTACGTTTCCAATACAAAACCACGTTGCAACACACTTTTAACCTTTTCTAATATTCACAAATACGAAATTACTCTTGTACATAATAATAGTACGTTACAACTATATGCTTCGTAAAAAATAGAACGATGACCGATAACACGAAACGGTGTTCAGAAATGCATCCATTCTCACCACCACGTTTCTTGCACAAATACGAGCGTCGATTATTGATATTTATCAATGGGAACGACAATGGGGAACGAGAAGAAAAATAGCAGGATCGAAGAGAGAAGCGTTCCGGCAAGAAGAAGGTTTCGCGGATGCGTCACGTGAATCGCTACTTTCAAAATCAATTCCTGTGAAAAAGAACACTGGTGCAAGAAGAAGAATCCACTATCACTTGACACGCGTCGCGTGGCTCACCAAGTATCACCCTTCTCGCGAACACCGCGTTCCAACAACACTCGTTTCATTTCACTCGTCGCGAATCCCTTATTATCCGACGACACACGTTCACCCTTGCTTATCCCTCGAGCCGGACACCTGTTCCTCTTTCCCTCCTTCCACGCGACTCGCCAACGGCATGGGTGAGATCAGCCCCTCCTCTCTTCGATCTCGTTCCAATCCTCGTCGAATCAAAGAAATCGACGCATCCGGTGTGCTTGCGCTCGCCTCCACTCGTGTTATTCGTGTTATTCGACCCTGGGTTGTTCGCAAAGAAGGGGGTAGTTTTTTTTTCTTTTTCGAGGTTAGGAGGTCGGATGGATGGAGTTGGAATGGAAAGGGTCGTGCACGAAGGAGACGTTGACTCGAGTGAAAAAGAGACGCGACGAAAGCGAAAAGGCGCACGTTTAACGAGCGTGCTCGTGATGGCGTGGCGGATCGGCCGCGACTGAATCGAGCCGACTCGGAACACGTCGGGCTTGAATGAGCGTGGCTGAGCGACGGAGATGGCCGAAGTGGGCCAGAGAGAGACGGCCAGTGCAGCGCTGGGGGTTGGAGTGGGCTGGCTGAGTGGGGCTAGGGTAGTCGGATAGAGAGGGAGATATCGTCGAAGAGTGGAGCGAGAAGTTTCGAATAATAATTATTAAATATTTTTACGTGAAAATTTCTTCGTTCCCCGGGATATTATCCTTTGCGAACGGAGTGATTTTTCTTGCGAATCTTGAAACGCGTGTATTTGCACAAAGGAAAGGAAATGATTCCTTGTGAAAATAGAAGGACTGGATTCGTTGTGTACGCAATTAAAGTTCTGTTTTACGATAGATGCAGATTCGAGGTAATTTAATTAAGGAAAGAGTTTTCTTTACGGGGTGAATATTAAAGAAAATTTTCAAAGATTCATAAATATTTTGATTTTCCAGAATGGATAGTTTATCTATCAGCGAGGGAAGGCGTACAATGAGATTTACATATTAATTTGAAATCAAATTTTGGTGAACGTAATAAATTTTAAATGTCATTTTTCTTTGAAAATGATTCGATATAAATTTTTCGTAAAGGATTAATTTTCGGATAATTCGTCTCTAAACTTTGTCTCTAAAAATTTTCGCAATGTTGCTTTCCTTAATTTTTTTTTAAATTAATAATAGATTAAAATATTAAACAAAAATACGAAATATTATGATTTTTTACAAATTTCCAAAGTTCTATAACGCGTCTTCGAGTTGTGAGAAATAAATTCGTCAAAATATAAAAATAAAACTTTGAAAAAGAATAAAGAGAGATAATAACCCTACAAAGGGAACGAAAACGACAATGTATGTATTATGACAAAAATGGAAAAGGAATTTCATCTTGTAATCTGAAAACTGAATGTGATAATGCAATAATAATAAAAAAAAAAAAAAGAAAGAAAGAATAAAGATATCTACAAGGCAAAGAACGTACCAAAGGAAGTTAGAAGAATAGTTAAAGCATACGTTAAAGGAAGAAACAGGCAAAGAAAAGGAAAATTTTAATAAGAACGAAAGGAAGGAAAGGAAGGAAGTTATTTTAAGCGAGCATAGGACCACTATGCTTTCGTGAAGCTAAACGAGAAAAGAAGGAAATTGTAAGGATTCGGATATGGTAATAATATAAAGAAAGTAGAAGAAAAGGGATATGACGTACAAAAGGAAAGCATTCGAAGTAAGAAAATCTTTTGGTAACCCAAGAAACTTATTTTGTAATCGTAAAAATTAAAACGTTACAAACGTTCAATAATGACGATTTAAAAATGGGAAGAAATAACTTTTACAACTACTTCGCCATTTTAATTTTTCTACGATCCCTAAAAAAGAAAGAAAATTAGATACAAAAGCAATGGATAAGTAATGATTCGTTATTTTCTTTTTTTTTTTTTTTTCGTGAGAAATTTTCCAATCGATTAGTCATTATTAGGAACCAATAACTAAAAGCATTTGACATTTTTACTCATTCCAGGAAAAGATTATCAAGATTCCTATAATAGATGTACTTGTAACGACACTCGATCCCCCACGTGCATTATGTTCGGTTCGTGAAAGGCCACAAACACCACGTGCACAGCATGGAAACCGACACAGACAAGTTTTTCAAACGACTCGCTCCTATTATATATACCCCGATGGAGAATTACACGCCGCCATGCGGCCACGGTCTCTTCGTGAATCCTCCTATTTGCACCAGTTTGCATAGAAATGAATGCGAGCCACGTTCTCGTTTCTTCCTTTCTTCCTTTCTTCCTTCTTTTCTTCCTTCGTTATTTTTCTTTTTTTTTTTTTTTAACTTTTTTTTAACTTTAGACATCCACGTGTTAAATATTCTTTGCGTAAATTTGCAAGTTTGGTTGGATTATTTGGATTGCGAAGCATAAAATGATAATACGGTTGGAAAATGAGAAAGACCAGTCAGATTGTTCGCTGTTATTCTAAAGTAATTTTTGAACGTTATATTGTGTTAGGAATAATAATTGGTTTGTGCATAAAGAGTTTGATTTTCGCGATGAATGAATTTTCTTTTATCGAAAATATTCAATGAAAATACGTATTTATTAGAATGACTTTTATTTTCGTTTGAAATTAATACTTTGATGCATGACTTAGAAATTATTGTACATTTGCAACATATAAATATAAATTTGTATATATAATAATATTATACTATTATAATTTGATATTGTGGAATGAAAATTGGTTTGTTTTTTTTTTTAGATTCAATATTAATAAGAGATCAAATTGAGAGTCGAAGAAAATATTAAGAATATCCTCGACTTTAATTGTAATTCAATTTCAATTTTAGATAGTTAAAATATTTATTTTTCGTTAGCATATATATATATACGAGAGATAATATGTAATAAATTTTCAGATAGAAATCATTAGAAATGTTTTATTTTACATTTCGCAAAGATGCAATTGTAAAGAATTTGTACATCAAAATCAAATAAAAGAAATGAATTATATTTATGAATATAACGGAAAACAAAGTGTAACGAGCAAATATTTCAAAATATAAGTAGTACATTTTAAAATATAAATATATATAAATATTTTCAATGAGTTGTAATGCATTCAATGAGCATTTTCATCGAGAAAAAATATATCGGTGATCAAGAAGTAATATAACATTTTTATGTTTATTAAAATAAAATACATAGTGAAAAAAGCTGCCGGGTGAACGGTTATTTTATAAATTGAAAAAACACAGGATATTGTGTTTAAAAAAATATAAAACATGGACGTAGACAACACACGGAGCGGAATTTTATTATTGGTCAGTAATAAATTCAATTCTATATATCAGAAATTGCAACTTATATTTGGTTTGGTCGAATTAAATATAACATTTTTATTTTCCTATGATTTCGAGCAAACAGAAATGTAAAATTTTCAAAATATTAACAACGTACTCTTCAAACGATAAAACACTTGAAAAAAAAGATTTTTTCCATCACGAAAATACAAATCCATAGTTTAATTATTATTTCCTATCAAAGTATCAAAATATCAAAGTTATTAAATTGTATAATAAATTCGTTTGCAAAAATATCTATTAAATATTCACAAATTTATATATAATCAATAATGTATATATATATCCATTTTTCTTTTTTCTTTCTGTTAAAGAAATTCTTAAAAATATACAATCAAATGTAAAAATCAAATGGATTATGAAACTGCTTCTTTTATATACATACACTAATGATACTTTCGATCGATCCAATTAAATCCACTATATTTTTTTAATTACGATCAATATGATCGATTCGTTGTATCGAAATCGTGTTAAACGAGCAAATACGAAATGTCGATAAAAGTAACAATAACGATGGAAATATTGTCACAATTTTTTTATCCTATCGAAATGGTGTCGTAAAAAGATTCACCGTAGAAAACTGGTTTATCTGGCAAAAATCGATAGCGAGGCACTCCTTTTCAATCCACGAAACGTGAGTAATTAATCTAACACAATCAAATTACACGATACGCGTGTTAATCCATCCAAACGGCTCGATTAACGTCCCGCAACAAAAATCTTAGGAGGGAGTGAACGTTAACGATCGCGGCAAATTATCAGGGACAATCCTCGATTACGCGTCAACGTCTACAAATAGCTGGCGTATCTGTAGATTGTAATTAAGTTTCGCGTAATTACATTCGCCTACGTGGGGATGCGTGAATCCCGAACGCGATACAATTGCCCATACCTGTAAAACCGATTCCCATTTGACAAGGGTCGAAATTAACAAGGCAGCCGGGCGATCTTCTTCGCCGATAAACGGCCGATCGAAACGGTCACGACCAATTGATAATGGCATCGTCACGTGCCGCATTCGGCCGAGGATCAATAAAATGGCCTCGCTGTGTCGCGTATGCGAAACACAATCCTGACTGTTGGAATCTGGTTCGAATATGGATGTTGGAGAATCGAGCGTGGGACAGAAAATGGAACGTCATTGGAATGGCCATTGTCGCTTCGCCATGGAGGTTTATTCGTTTCCACAATATGATAAAAGATCGATTATTAATTATCCGAATTATAATACGATCAATTGCTCGAACACGATTATATATTTAGATTAGTATATCTGAAAATGAATTTACGTTATTTTGTTTGAGAAATGAGAATTTCTCTTATGAGATGAGTATTATTATGAAAATTAGTGATGAATAGTACAGTTGATTATAAAGTTTTGTAAAAAATAAGGATTTTACGAAAAATTAGTTGGAATGTTTTATTTGAAGGAATGATTTTAATATTTGTAATTTTTAGGTTATAAAAATCGTAAGATTAGTCCTATATTTCTGTCTATATCCTATTATATTAAATTCTCTGAATGTTATATAGGCGAATGTCCAACTTGTGCTGACTCTGTATGACCCTTAAGAGAACCTAGATTTGATATCAGATACGAGATGGAAACGAATCGGGGACAATGCAAGTGGACACTATTCTGGTTAGTCGATATAACTGTTGCTATAGTTGCCAAATACCAAGTGCATTTTCGAATAGAAGCAAAGGATAATTGTTGGAAATAACTTTTGAAAGAAATGCAATAATAAACAATTAGTGACAAAGTCTGGCTAGAGATGATGTTTGGTAATATTACTTATTTGAGGTTATCTGATATTTTTCTAAAATGACGTTGATTTCATAGTATTCTCTAATATTAAACGTAAGTAAAGAGAGGAAAACTTGGAAGAAACTTAAGAGGAGTAAAATCTATGAGAAGAGATGATTAATCTTATGCTTATGATGTCGTTTGACATCCATTTTTAATTATATAATTAATGATTATTTAATGACAACAAGAAATCTTTTGATTTAAAACTACAAAGTTTTTGTATACGATATTTTAATATAATTGCACGTTGAGATATGTAAATAAATATAAAAAATTCATTAATTAA